ATAATGCACAAATATGTGACTTTCGGTTCAAAACTGCTGAAGAACAAATTATTATTACACAAACATGGCTCATATGTATCAATACATTGATTAATCAGGAGTTTTATTCAACTTTCAATCCTTTTGAAGTCTCTACTGTGAAAGATTGAAGCGTAATTCAATAGATCACAGGAAACTGTATCTGCTACAGTAATTCAGGCTGGATCAACTGACCATGAATTTCTGCCTGCCAATTACAGTCTGTACACAACACAATTCAAGAGCCATTTTAGAGGCAAAAACACAAAAAGTACTCACGGATCCCGGCGAAAATGCAGTCTTTTCCTGAGTGTGGACACCCGTGGGTGACAGCCCATTTTGACGGGTGAGGTGCATGATAAAATCCTGCTCTGAACCATGATGCTCTAAACTTATGTGGACCTGCACACGGTTCACACACTAGCGGGATGAGGACTCCTCTTTACTAAACTCACTTCACCCCCTCCTCTCCTCTCTCTCGTTCCCTCTCTCTCTCTTTTTCTCTGTGCGGGCCGTGTCTTGTCCTGCGGTGACCTAGATCCTGCGTTTTCTCAGTTTGTGTGCTGTGGATCAGTACAGCTTGTTTCCTCACCTGAGGAGTGGTAGCAGTCAGACCACCAGCAGAGACACTAATATGACCATCAGAGTCTCAGAGACACGCGAGAGATTGCACACTACTGGCCAAAATGCAAAACCAGAGAGAGACAGATGTGATAAGGCGAGTATGTTTTGGTTGTTGATTCGGCTGAACCTGAATCAAATTGGCAAGTAGGATGCCAATATAAATTTCACCAAGAGCTTGTAACACTCCAAAGAGAAAGGAAAAATTGAAATCGCATCATATGACCCCTTTAAGGATGTAGACATTCAAGCAGTCGTGTAATTTTCATAATCATAATAATCAAGGTTTCCCAAGCAATAATAAAAAAAATAAAACCATCTCGAGATTAAAGTCATTATAATATGATATGTATTATGTGATGAAAAAAGGAAGAAGAGCGAGTTCGCCAAAAGGCAGATTCAAACTCTGGTCGATCACATATGCTACATCCACGAGCATTACTCTACGACCTACTCCACTGCAGACACTGACTAACACTGTCCAACGAGATAAAATGAACATGACACGAGTGTGTTTATTCTCAGCATTTTATTTAGACTTTTTTCTCGTAATTTAATGAGTTTGTTCTCAACATTTTATTTCAAATTTATTTCTCAAAATTTTACGAGCTTTTTTCTCGAAACACAATGACTTTATTCTCGAAATTTAATTATATAATTCTCAACATTTTATTTCGACATTTTTCTTGAAATTTAACGAGTTTAATCTCGTATTATAATGACTTTAATCTCTAGATGGTTTTAGAATTATTTTTTTTTTATTATAGCTTGGCCCTAATCCTCTTCCGTAGTTTCCATACCTTTTGACTAATGAATTTCTTTTGCAATTTTTTACTTTTTTTTTTTCTCTTCTTCTTTTCTGATTACTGGGGAAAAAAACATATTGTATACAGATTGCACATAAAAACTTCAAGGTGATGAAAAATTAGACTAATAAACTAGCAAAAAAAACCAAAAAAAAACTTTTTTGCGCAAAGAAAACAAAAATAACGACTTTATTCCACATTTTCATCTCTACTGCGTCACTTTGGACGTGCGCTCACGACAGTATCCTGACGCGAGCGTGTGGCGGCACCGGCGCTGACCCAGATCCGGCGTGATTACGTCATTACGCTCGATCTGGGTCAGTGCCGCCACACACTCGCGTACTGGCGACATGGTACTGTCGTGAACACGCGTCCAAAGTGATGCAGTAGAGATGAAAATGTGGAATAAAGTCGTTATTTTTGTTTTCTTTGCACAAAAAAGTATTCTCGTAGCTTCATAACTTTACAGTTGAACCACTGATGTCACACGGACTACTTTGCTGATCATCTTGGTACTTTTCTGGACCTTGAACGTGGTAGTGACCTTGCTGTCTATGGGAGGGTCAGAGAGCCCTCAGATTTCATCAAAAATATCTTAAATTGTGTTCCGAAGATGAACGAAGGTCTTACGGGTTTGGAACAACACAAGGGTGAGTAATTAATGACAGAATTTTCATTTTTGGGGGAACTAACCCTTTAAGAACTGTTTTTCATGGCCAGGTCTGGAAATCACAAATTCCCTATTTCTGGAATTCAGATATTTCTGATACACATACTGGGGCATTTCCAGAAACATTTGATGAAATTACTGTAAATAATTAACATCTTAAATGTATTATCTATGGAAATGTGTGTTTAATTCACATATATTTTATTACATTAATTATTATTAATTTATAAATTATATTAAAATATTACATTTTTTTACTAAATTAATTGTATTACATTAATTATATTAACACAATAATTTAAAACATATTTTCAACATTTATTTTTTTATTGGTAGGCCTACTGAAAACCATGTGATCAACTGAAATTCAGGTAATCTTAAATTTTGTATTTATTGATGTTAAAGGGATAGTTCACCCAAAAATGAACCACTGGTTTTGGTTACCACTGACTTCCACTGTGTGAACAAAAAATACTAAGACATTTCTCAAATGATCTTATTTCATGTTCTTATTTCATCTTATTTCATGATCTTATTTAAAAAAAAAAATAATAATAAAGTCATACAGGTTTGAATAGACATTAGGGTGAGTAAACATAATTTTAATTTTTTGGTAAACTGTCCCTTTAATTGTTTTAACAGCACTGACAGTTTTATAGTTCAGTTCCGAAATAATGTATATTCCATGAAAAAACAGGTATAATTAGTCTAAATTAAGGACAAAATTCATGTTTTTTTTTTTTTCATAAAACATTTGCAAATTCAAATTCCAATTCAACATCCTGTGAGATCTGGCCAATTCGATTCAAATTCACACTGGCGAACTAAAAGGGAGCCTGTAATGTATATGTATGTGTGTAAATGAGAGTTGAGTACTTCGCTGTTATCAATTCAGCCTAATGGGACACAAACAGGCTGAACATTCCTCACCTTTAATGAGCATTAGCTGCTTTTACGTCACAACACAAAACAAATTTAAAAATAAGCTGAAATCAGGTTGCTGAGTGCACAAAAATGAGCTGCTGGCAACTGCGTGCATACTGACTTTAACAAACTGACTTTAGCAGGTGTAGAGATGCACACACACTCGTGTACAGACTCACACACATATGACCTCTTTTCAGACAAACGCATAGTAAATAATGCTCATGAACTTTAATAGCAACAAACACAAAATGAATCAATGTACAAACAGTGATGTTCACAAGACATGTTTCATAAATCCAGAAGAAACAGTGTGTTCTAAGAGATCCAATAAAAGCACCAATGAACAAGCGCCTGAAGCCTGGAGATGAAAAAAATGTTCATATGATATTCCAGCTGAGGATCGGCGTGTTCTCTGGCCAGCTGGGCTCAACAAGAACATTTGAGCACAGCTAAAAATCTAAGCTTTCACCACAAAACTTGCTTAGCTGATTCAAAATGTGTAGCACCTGGTTCAGTTCATGATATTTCTGAGATGAAAATATAGTCTCAGAAGACACAATGGGCTGTTCTGCAGCCCTGCCATAGGAAAGTGAAACATGCAAGAGTTGTTTTTGAGATGGCACAATACAGTCGGTGAGATCTGTGGTCTGACTCAAAACCAGACAACAGATGCAGAACTTGACACAGAAAGAAGAACAACTTCATAAGCAAAACATGAACAACCAAAAACAGACACTTCTCAACCACACTGAGACTAAAACCAGCTGCCTACAGGAAGTTCATATCATGTCAGCCTTTTCAGCGTCTGCCATTATACGACAAAGACTGACAAGAGAAAGTAACAAAGGATGGAATCCCAATTCGCACTATTTGTCATATAAAATACACAAGCATATTTCCACATCAGAGTAAAAAATAAAAAAGGAAGTTGTGAGAAAAAGTTTAAAATAAAAATAAAACAGCATTACTTTAAAGTCACAATAATGAGATTCAATTGTAAGACAAAGTCGCCAGTGTTGGGGGTAACGCATTACAAGTAACGCGAGTCTACTGTACGGACGTAAATTGACTCCCTTCAGCCTGAGGCTTATTCATTTCACTTTTGGTGTGAAAAGGCTTTTATATTTGCCAAAAATAGAACTTTTTTATTTTAAAAACAAACAAGCAAGCCCTGTCCAGATTTAAAAAGTAATGCAAAAGTAACGTAACGCATTACTTTCCATAAAAAGTAACTAAGTAACTAGTAATTAGTTGCTTTTTTATGGAGTAACGTAATATTGTAATGCATTACTTTTAAAAGTAACTTTCCCCAACACTGAAAGTAGCATTGTGAGAGAAAACAAAGAGGAAATTAAAACAATTATGAAATAATTTCTCATTAAAATAATTTGAAAATTATGAGGTACAAAGTTGCATTGTATAAATGAAAGTCACAGTTGATAGTTGCAATGGACCCTTTTCATAGACTGTAATGACGCAAAAGCTCACCCAACTATGATATCTTCCACTTCTGAGAACCATGGAAATGTGAAAATGGTCCATCATGAGAAATAAGGTAGCATATAAGAAGTAAAGTCAAAATAACTTTTTAGGTTTTTTGTTTTTGAAACAGGCTATCATACAAATACATTTTCAGTACACTGAAAATAGTATATCAAAAGTGTGCAGATGACATATGTTTTTAGATTTCAGATCTATGCTAATATGGCTCACAACCACTTGTGATAAGATATATCACATACGATACATATGTTCACAAGCTAATAGTTATAAGCATACGAATTGGGTTGTGAGCTGACCAACCACTGACCCCTGTTGGACACATAAGGAAACTATGGTGAGAGCAGCATAATGCATAAATATTAGACGAGTGAGATAAATGCCTCAATTCCAAATACTTTAACATGTAAAACCTACAGACAATGAAAATGACATGCAAAGCAGCCCAGAGTGCGTACCTGTCGGTGTACCTGTCGTCGCGGGTGTTGGGGCTCAGGAAGCGTGTGGACTCTTCCTCATGGCTGCTCTGCAGGCTGCTCTGCTGACTGCTGTAACACAGAGCGTCACATTACAATCACAACACAAGAAACACACACACGCGCGCGCACACACACCAGATGTTCACTCATACTGAGAATGAGACAACAGAAGGCGAGTTTGGACACACAGTGATGTCTTTTAATTACAATAACTATTTGACAAGAGTGTTATAAACTCAAACAACACAACAATACACATTTAACCAGTAAACCTTGACATGATTATCAAGTGCAATGTACAGTGTGCAAAGTACACTTAAGAAAAGAAATGACAGAAAAACATCCTGTGCATTTGACCACAAAGGTGGTTCCCTGGGTTCTTTCATGCTGCATGAAAAGGAAGCAGGTGAGAAAACAACCTAACAGATCAACATAACAAAGCCCTACACTGGTAAACACTGGTGTATTTAAAAGGGTTTACTACCAGCAAACACCTGACAGCTTACAGTACACAGCCGATAACGGATTCATGTCAGTCATGTCAAACATCCGGCTACACGTTGGAATACAAATTCTAAATCATAAATGTACACTACCAGTTAAATGTTTACACACACCTACTCATTCTTTATTAGAAGTATTTTCCACATTTTAGAATGATAGTAAAGTCATGAAATTTATGAAATGACAAACTTAAGTATGCGAATTATGCAGTTATAAAAAAGCAAATTTTTTAAAAGAAATTAATACTTTTTGTTCCCGCAAGGATGCATTACATTGATTGAAAGTGAAAGTTAAGACTTTTACATTGTTACAAATTTACTTCAAATAAATGCTTTAAAGTCTTTATCAAAGAATCCTTCAAATTGCATTGCAGTTTTCACAAAAAATATTAAGCAGCACAACTGTTTTCAACATAAATAATAATAATTTTTGTGCAACATATCAGTATATTAGAATGATTTCTGAAGGATCATGTGACACTGAAGACTGGAGTAATGATGCTGAAAATTCAGTTTGCCAAAGTTTAAAATATACTAGAATAGAAATCAGTTATTTTTAATTGTAATAGTATTTCACAATAATACATTTGAAAGTATTTTTGATCAACTAAATGCAGCCTTGGTAAGCAGAATAGTTCGCTCAGAAAAGAAAATATAATCAGAATTTTTGCACAGCATCTCAAATCTTACTTCAGCAATTTCTATTTCATAAATTAATAATTTATTTATACATTTTCAAGATCAGAAATCAGAAATTCAGTCAAGTGTGTCCATACTTTTTACTGGTAGTGTACTTCAAGTCTAATTTCAACTATTGTTAAAGCTGCTTGAAGTAAATGTTCAGGTCATAGCAGATACGTATATACTGCATGTCGTAATTTTGTCTATTAAAAGCCAGTGAGAGTCATGAATATTTAAGACGTCCCCTGACAAACTCCTGTCAGCATTCCTGGCAGCAGCAGGCGGCCGCTTGTTCTTCCCTCCAGCCTATAAATGTCACAGCAGAGACTTCAGTCCCTCCAGAGAAGATGGAAAAAACACACTCACACAAAAACACAAAGGTTTTCTGCTACGGCTAATGTAGTAGAGCAAGCTCACACGAAGACTCTAATGAAGTGGTGCAGACCCTGTTGAAAAAAAAACTGCATATGCTGGTGCATAACCAGTTTATAACCAGCTTAAACCAGCTGCCATGCTTCAAAACATACCTAAGCAGCATATGCTGGTTTTTTCAACATGATGGACAGCGGGAATGAAGAATGGATGGGTTTGTGTGCTGAGATCAGGCAGTGCAGAGGGGTCGGGGTGGAGGGTTCAGACTCAGACTCGTGCTCGTGCTCATACAGACCTGCTCTCACTGCCGTGCTCTTTTTTCTCGCCTCCTCTCAGCCACTTGCGCAGGAGGAAGCGTCTCCGTTGGGGCGAGGTGCTGGGCGTTGAACAGCTCGACCACGCTGCGTCCTCGTCGCTGGATGGCGTGATCTCAATGGACGGAAGCTGCAGGTAATCCTTGGAGCCGGAACGCTGAAGTTGTTCCTTCTCGCTCATGACGTTCCTCATACGGCGCATTTTAAAGCGCTTACGCCGCAGAGAGGGGCTGGAAGAGCTGGATAGGGCCAAATCCACCTCGCATCCGTTGCACTCCCCATCTACCGGGCCCTGGATCTGCAGCGCGGGCAGCTGGAGGGTTTCTGACATGATTCTGCTTCTGCTCAGTCTTACATGAGTCCAGAACCAAGTACAGATGCAGATCAAAGAGCTCAGTGAGTCCACACCTGGGCTGAGCTAAGTTCAGCACTTCCAGTTAGACAGCTCAGTGTTGACATGTTGGGATTTATAGAATATTTCCTTCAAAAACCTTCTGTCCAGAAAACCAGGATAGCTCCCTAGAAGTCAGAGGAAGGTCATAGGGTCTACTAGGTCAGCAGTTCTCAAACTCTGAAATAAAAATGTATGTTTTATTTGATTTGTTTTTTTAAGTTGGATTGCTGGAAGTACATAGGTGTACTTTTCTTGTTCTTGAATGTTCTGAGTTGATCAGAGGTGCTACTTGAGCTGAAGTGTTTGAGAACCACTGTGCTAGGTGGACAGAGCCTATACATGCACATAAACATGCACACAAGAGTTGACAGAAAACATGAGGACTTTATAGCAAAGATTTCACAGAAAGGATAGCATAAAAATGCTAATAAATCAGACACAATAGGAAACAAAAATGACATATTTGCTCTCTCACACACATGCTCTTTCCTGCTCTGCTCTGGAGTATTACTGTAAAACCACTGTGAAATGAACATTAATGATCACACCTTAATTTAAAGATTTCACCTCAAATTACACCACTGGACATTCACAGTACATTCACACATTTAATTAAGTCACAGAAGTGCAAAACATAATTCATGCAAAATCATTACATTTTTTGCTGCTTAATATTACCATTCAAACGTTTGGGATGAGTAAGATAAAAAAATAAATAAATAAATGTATCGTTTTATTTAACAAGGACTGGTTAAATTTATCTAATGTGACAGTAAAGATTTTTATTTCAAATAAATGCTGTTTATATGAATTTTCTATTTATCAAAGAATCCTGAAAGAAATGTATCACAACAATATTAAGCAGCAAAAAATGTTTTCAATAATAATATGTAACATGATTAATAATTGGGCAACAATAATAATTAATAATAATGGAGCACCAAATCTGCACATCAGAATGATTTCTGAAGGATTATGTGACAGTGAAGACTGGAGTAATGACTGCTGGAAAATCAACTTTGCCATCACAGAAATAAATTACATTTTAAAATATATTATTTTAAACTATAATAATATTTGACAATATTACTGTATTTTTGATCAAATAAATAGGTAAGCATAAGATTCTTCTTTCAAAAAAACATATTTTTTTTAAATCTAAATTATTCCAAAATGTTGACTGGTAATGTATATATATTTCGCTTTTCCCCCTAAAGTCCACTTCAATAATTTCAATAAATGCTTTTTTCACTAGGAGGGAAGTTTAGCATTCTGATAGTTACAGTATATTTTCAAAGTACAACAACTCTTATCTAAAACATCTAGGAAGCTTGATTCCTCAGGATATGTCTCTAATAAAACATTTTAGAGTCAGCCATGCGTGTCAGTGTTAATATAACAGGCGTCATGTAGCACTGCATTTCAGGCATGTGTAAGGAAGTCAGGCGTAAACATGCGAGCGAGTTCATGTTACAGGAGGAAGTGCAGTAAGCCGCAACCCACTGAGAGCAGACACACACGAGTTGCCCATCTGCCAGCTCAACACATCACACAATCTGCTGACTGACCCCTGTGGCGGGTTAGTAACCTGCCACACACTGTTAGATCACTCCTGTTACTGCTCCACCGGAGATGGCCAGTGTTTTTTTTTTTTTTTTAATAAAAATAAGTCTCTGTGGTCTTGTCCTTAGCAGTAAATGCCAAATATATGAGTTCTGCATTCTTAGACTGAGATTATATACAAAACAAATCCTACCATGTCCCCCACATGCAGTGCACCGGAAATGTGCACACTGTACCACAATGCATAAACTGTACAGTACATATCTGACCTGTAACTTTCTGTAATAAAGTAAGTTTCTAAAATGAGGCCATCAACCATCTTTATTTTTTAAGAAATCACAAAAATGCATTAAAAATGCATATGAATCACATATTTTGGTGTGCAATGGATTATATTTAATGCCTGTATCTCCGCCTGTACCATGGCACTACCAAAGGGTTTTTGGACCTGGTACCATAGTAATACCAGAGCATATTTTTGGGCATTTCATGTAAAAAGTGTGGGACATGAATTTCAGTGCCGTAGTATTTATCAAATTACCATGGTATTATGACAGTACCATGGCACTACAATCTGTTACAATCATTTTACCATAATACTGCCACAGCACTTTTTGTATTAACTTACAATGTGGCATTATGACACATTTGATACTCTTAAGGAAAGAAACCAAATAGTAAGCACTGCATCTGACTGTATCAGAAAGCAAAGTTTAAAAGTAATTATGCAACACCAAAGTGCATAACAATGTTTCATGTAAAATATGCTATACTTCATCGTTTTAAGCGGAAAATACGGTTTCAAGTTCTCTTTAAAATGGTATTGATCTGTTAACAATTGTTAACGGTACAAATAAAAAGTTGAAAATACGCACTAAAGAGAAATAAAGAAAAGCTTACCTTTTACATTCCAAATAACCAAAACCTTCGTTTTTAATATGTAGTCGTTGTCTTTCAGTTTTAATTGGCCGGAATGAATGAGGAACTGTTGCTGCGTTTATTCCCATACTGTTCCGTTATGATCTTCACGTTTCCTTTTCCCCGGACGAATCCACTCCGATTCAAGGGGAGAGATACCGTGCAGAAACAAAACAAATGTTGTTTTACAGAACAGCTTGAACTAGGTTTGTTATAAGCGAAAGAAATGCACAAAAGACCTCTGATTAAAATATCTGCGTGTGGTAAAAAAACGATCGGATATGCCATATACGTAGATTACGTGTTGCGCATCACCCCTCTTTCTGAGATCGAGGCGCCACGGATCTCTCCGTATAAAAGCAGCCGGTGCAGGCTCGTCATTTTAAAAAGGTTGCTGTAGAAGCCAGTGAAACATTAACGCAGAATATGCGATAATTAAAACGGTCGTGCTTGTCTGAAGAAACGAGCTTCTCACTCAAAGCGAACTACTTTTAACGTTAAAACGTCGTTTCTTGTCAGCTGGAAACACGAGTCAGAATGTTCAACTTACTGAGGTAAAATCATAATAGTACACCTTGACAGCAGAAAATAGCATACGTCTTAAAATGTACAACCATCACCATCACAAACACATTCTTGTCAAAATGTACAACCACCTATAACTGAGGTGAAAACATGAGAAGCACATCTTGACAGCCAGAAATACTTCTAAAAAAACGTACCATCCTAATAACTGAGGTAAAAGCGCGGCTAGCACACATCTTGCCAGCGGGAAATGCCAGTCAAAATGTACAACCACCTTCATTACTAAGGTAACATTATGATAAGCACATCTTGACAGCAGGAGATACTGTACAACCAGGGGCAGATTAAGGTGGTCAGGGGCCCACATTGAGACAGCCAATCCCACAGTGTTTCCTCTACATTCCCAGTGTCCCCACAGAATTTTGTAAGACTGTGATGGGTGCACATTGGTTCCTCTAGTCTAGGGGGTTCTGCAGAATTTTGTTCATTTTAAATTTAAATTTGATGGTAGGGAACAATTTGCACTATATAAATTCTTATAAAAGCTACAAATGCCACTCTGTCAAGAGCAGGGAGTGATTTTTCTCCTTGTCTTTTGTTGTTTGATTATCATTAATGCCGACACTCAAGACACGAGACGAGACACGAGATTTTTACACATTTTTAAAAGAAATTCTCAATGACCAAATACATGACTGGAAAAATTAATTTAATCATCTTGTAATAAATGTCATTTCAGTTCTATTTTCTGAGTATGAATTAGGGAACAATTTACACTATATAAATTCTTATAAAAGCTACAAATTCTATTCTGTCAAGAGAAGGGAGTGATTTTCCCCTCGTCTCTTTTTTGTTTGATTATCATTAACGCCGACACTTAACTCAAGAGATGAGATGAGACACGAGATTGGGTTCACGAGAAGATGAGGTCGAGATTTTTACACATTTAAAAAAAATTCTCAATGACCAAATACATAACTGTATAGTCTACAGGTGCATTTTGAATTGTTTTAACTAATCTTCTTGTAATAAATGTCATTTCAGTTCTACTTTCTGAGTATGAATTATCATATGCAGTAAAAACAACAACACTCAAGCACTGTAAAAGGTTTTGTTCAACTGACCGGCTTCTCTCCTGTATGATTTCATGCGAGTCTCTTCAGACTTTAGAACTGTACATGAATTATGAGCTTCTAGAACGTTTGACCTCCTAACTGAAATCCTTTTCACAAATTGAACATAGAAATAAAAACAGAATAAATAACAAAAAATAAACAACAGTTCTTTCGTATTAAGTGCGAACAATAAGTGCTCTCTCTATATTCAAAGTGCAAATGAGACCAATTTTTTTCAAGCATGATGCAGAGCTATAGACAACTACACAACCTATTATAGCCTACATACTAATAACAGCCTAGATATGTTATGTAGCCTAATTTGCGCGCATCAGGGAGTCACTCTCAAAACGCGTGGTATTAAAATCGCTTTTCAATGCGCGTGCGTTTTACTTTCAGAATCGATTTAACGATAGTGCGAACTCTCAGCGGTGCTGAGCGTGCATTCTACAATACAAGACATTAATTTTGTCAGACGCTCTGCAACAAATCCTCCTTTGATGTTTCTTATGGGCCAATGACGGTCTTTTTTGTTCGTGCTGAAGAAAATTTAAAATAATAAAAAAATTGTCTGGCCAATCCGAGGCCCCTGCACACGTGGGGCCCTTAGGCTGCAGCCTAGGCAAGCCTGTGCGTTAATCCGCGCCTGTGTACAACTATGTAAATCTAAGGTAAAAACATATATTACAAATCTTGTCTGACAGAAAATACCTACCAGGAAGCACTAATGGGTAGTCCATCTTGTTATTTTAACCTAATAATTTATGCACCAATACTCATATGATTCATTCAGAAAAATTATTTTATTTTCTGCCATATTTAATTTTATGCAAATGAACACTAAAGTACAGTCCATTAAAGTTACTGCTCTATTAATCACGATAGCGCAATGTTATTTGATTCAGAAATACATAATATGTGGAACTTCACAGTACAAGATGAAAAAACGGTAAACAAATCTTCCTACCATCAGTTGGGAGTTTTGAAGTTTTTTATGCTGTCAT